CTTCTGTAATGGCAATTTAAGGAGTGGATAAGGTTTGGCACAGCCCTGGAAGCTGCTTGTAATGCTAATGAAGGACTCTGATCAATCCCTAGCTGGGGAGGCCTTTTCTGGATACAGCTGTATATTTCCAAAGCCACAACTGACTTCAGGACCTTAAGGACCGTCTGAGCACTCCAGATAACCAGCCTGGGAAGTTACCTACCAATAGCAACCATCCATCCTCTCATAAGGAAACCCAGTGTGATCTTTAGAAACTTGACAAGGCTTATGCGCCTGCGTTTTAGTGGTAATACTCTTCATGGTACAGGAATGTGAAAAATGAGAATTTTTTTCCCCTCTTGTGACTCTCTCAAAATACCCTTCTGCCCTGAGACGCTGAGGTCTCATAAGTCTCTTGTGTTCTTCCCTTTCACTCTCTCCACTTTGCCTTCTCGGCTTGTCTTTTCCTCACTTCCAACTATTTCATGTTCGGTAAGTACACAAGCTGTGCCTGGCACGAACGCCATTCTCAAAACAACAAAACTTGAAGTGTGTTTGTGTAGCCACGATAGATTTTCAATAACTTCACCTCTGGTTGTGGGGGTCCTTTTTGCTGATTTCTACCTGTATCACTCATGTCACATGCCAGTCTTCACAGAGAATGTTCTGGAATCAGACTGCCTGGGTTCAAACCTTGGAGTAACCTTATGTGAGATCTCTGACCTTTTTTGCACCTTAGTTTTCTTATTTATGAGAGAAGGATATTATTAGATTTTCTTGGTTGTGACAGGAGGAGAAGAATACAGGTTAATGACTACAAAATGGTAGATTGGCCCATCAATAACACCACTACCAACACCAATAATACACTGTTTTGGAAATGTATAAAATATTTAATCCAGCCGGGTGTGGTGGTGCATGCCAGCACTTGGGAGGCAGAAGCAGGTGGATCTCTGTGAGTTCAAGGCCAGCCTGGTCTACAAAGTGAGCTCCAGGTCAGCTGGGGCCACAGGGAGACCCTGTCTCAAAAAGACCAGTGATGATGATGATGATGATGATGATTACTAGGACACTGTGGATATATGCACTTAATAGATATCTACAGTGGTTACTGTCAGTAATAGTGACTATGCGTGCTTTATCCATCCTCAAACTATATTAAAAATATATGTGCATCAATGGAATAATCAATTTAGGCAAAGATCAAGTACCTAAAATCAGCGGATGAAAGCTTGTTGGAAATAGGATGTGACCATAGAGTCAAAGGGTCACCCCCTCAGATAACTTACTTGTTAGTTGTAAAAGGGAAACAAGTGTCTTTATAATGAGAGAGTGATCCCTGGGGCAATTTCAATACGTAGACCCATGATCAAACTCGGCATCGTGAATGCTGTGTCTCCTAATAAGATGAAATATGGAGCACCCCATGCACCTTGTGAAAAATGTTCATTCAAAACCTCAACGTGGCTCTGCGAGATACATAAAGACCTTTGCTGCTATGCCTGATGACCTGAGCTCAGTCCCTGGATCTCACATGTGGAAGGAGAGAACTGACTCCAGGAAATTGTCCTCAGACCTCCACATGTACTAGGCGTACACACACACACACACACACACACACACACACACACACACACACTAAGTTAAAAAATCCCCAACATAATTTTAGTCCTAACACTGAATTTACGTGAAACACAAGAGACAAAGCAACAGATTAACTATCAGGCAACAGCCGGTTCAGAATGTGGGCTATTCTTCCACATGATAACTGGTCTAACTTGAAAAAATTCCACTGTTGAATAAAAAGATATAAAACCCAAATGTGGGGGACTGGAGAGATGGCTCAGGGGTTAAGAGCATTGGCTGCTTTTGCACAAGACCTGGGTTTGATTCTCAGCACCCACATGGCAGCTAACAACCATCCATAACTCCAATTCCAGGGGGAATTCAATGCTCTCTTCTGACCTCCTCGGGCATTGCATGATACAGGTGTACTTACATATGTGCAGGCAATACATTCATACACATAAAAAACCCCAAATGCAAAATATGTTACCTAAAAAAATTAGATTCTGAGTCTTTTTTTAATGGTGGCATTTGGGGGAGAAATGGGAATGGTTAAGTATGGACTAGATATTAGGTGACAGATATTAAGGAATTACTATTAACTATTAAC